AGCTGTGCGTCTGGCGCGAGCCTGTCATTGTGGACTACATGCGAATGGTGGATGACCAAACCGACCGCATCACCGAAATCCACCATGGAGGAATCCAAACGGCGCCCCGAGATCGCGGAAGCATTAATGGAGCCAGAAACCCGCCCAAAGGTCTCCCACGTTGCCTCTACAATGCGACTTGGCTCCAGTCCCAGCCAAAATTGTACGAGAAGAGCCTGAACATTTCAAAACAGAACTTTGCTCTGTTTGTAGCTGCTACTGATCGTATGTAAGCCGAAGGTAGTAGTGTGGGAAGTAGGCGTACACGTAGTTGTAGCTCCACTCGATGAATGCAATACAGACTGCACAGAGGACGCAATTGGCGTGATGAGAACTTGACGAAGCTCAAGCTGTCGTGTCGGCAATGAGAGTCGAAGATGTCAAAACAAGCAGCCAACGTGCAACGTATGGCTCGCGTGTCAGAGACGGGCTCATGGCGGAAGACCCTGCATGAGTTTATAAGTGAGTACTTGTATCACTGCGGGCAATGGAGCATATTCTGCCCTAGAATATGTTGAGAATATTATGAATATTACAGGCTGTATTCATTCCATTTTCTAGGCCGGAATATGACAGGAATATCCGTGGAATATTCTCAATTTTCTCACCATCTGTCATATATATGACAGCCTGGAAAATGTTAAGCATATCCGTGGAATATTCTCAATATGCCTCATGTTTTCTTTCAATATTCCGGCCTGGAATATATCACATGTTCCAGGCTGGAATATTGTGATTAGATTTTGACACTATTATTGATTGGGATTCTGATTGGGATTCTATAATTAACTCTATTTAAACTACATGACTGCTGGCTAGTACGTACTTAGATACCATGAAAATCAATCTAACCATCTCCACACCTAGTCCACAAGCAAGAACTTACTGGACCTGTCCATTCCACAAAGGAAAATTCGATAATATGAACAATTATCATATCTACTCCCGATCTATGTAACGACTCGTGCATTTTTCCAGTCCTCGACTCACATTCTGGCACCAGCAGGCGCATAAACTCACTTTGTTGGTAAAGTCGCACCTATGTATGGATGACCAGGGCTTGGCTCTCCTGGTATGTCTAATTTGTCAAACGAGGCCTTAACTGACGTCTTCTCGAGGCCGATATCTCTGAAGTCGTTCCTCGTTTCGGACGATGAGCCGCTCCCAGAAGCCAGCTATTGGACACGACCTGCGACACTTGCCCAGCCAAAGGGTACAGGCAAGCGTTGTCAGAAACGAGGCCCCCAGTGCGTTTTCTTGCCCTGTATCTATTGTCTTCACCAATGTTTGCGCAGCAGGCAGTACCAGGTCTACTTTCTTGACTCCAACAATGAAGGATCAAGCGAATGCAGCAACTTGTGCTGGTGTGTCTTTTCCTATGGCCAGCGATGAGCAGTACTTACTTACTTCATACTATCTCTTTTAGAGGCGTACGGGTCCTCTCAACAGGAATGTGATGTCGACAAGCAGCAAGGCCGTTATCCGAGTCGCGTTCGCGAAGCCCATCTTTGTTGGCTTAGCGCCCCTTTGCATCCCCCCCACCGTATCCTCACGCCGCATCCGTCCGAGCAAGACACTCAAAAGAAGCGCATGGTCGCTGACACATTTGATATCCATTCCCAACAATCTTGCGAGGCCGGAATCCCCACCATCGTTCCACGTCTTCTCCTCTCTGAACCGACAAGACCATCTAGCGCAAGTCTTCGGGCTAGCTGGCGCCTTGTGGTTTCTTTTTCCTGAAGATTACGTGACATCACATCCGAGAAACGATGTTTCGCCGCTGCTTCTGCACCACATACCGCTCTATAAACTGTATCTCGCAGTGCGGCACAAGCCTCCGACGCCAACCAATTCTTTTGGGACAGTCTCATCGACAGGAAGGCCTTCGTCGACACCGTTTTCGCCAAGGTCGCCACTTGTGCTGCAATCAGGTATACGGCTGCCTCAACGGCGACCCCGCCGCTATAAACTGTCTCTCGTTATGCCAGCGCACATACCCTTCCACTTCCACATATCTTTGGCAAGATATCGGTCGCAAATCGTTGCTCTGTCGTTCTTTGTGGCTGGAAATCATTGTTCGTGGGCTTGAAATGGTTCGCGAGGCGGCGCGTGGGGCTCTTTCGTCAGCCAAGCGTCTTGGGAAATGTGGCAGCTTGTTTTTCAATGTGTCGACCCGTGACAAGTCCTTGAAGGTCGAAAGGATGACACCAATCTGTGTCGTTCTTGGTGAGCGGCTTTTCTCGCTTAGCGTGCTCGGCAGACCTAGATATCTCCGGACCGTGGCGAGCACAAGACCGCTGAGTTGCCACTCAGTAGTAAGAACTCGACGGGGTGCCCCCATAGACAAAACCCAGACCGAGCACGTCGAGATTGGGAGTCAGGACAAGCGGCTGGCTCAGAGATTCGTCCCGGAAAGATGGTCGCTGCTGTTCGCGCCCAGCATCAAGACAAAAGCCATCGTTCCGGCGGGTAGAACAGATTTTTCAGCACAATGCACACGTAGTTCACATTTTTTTCTCGCGTAGGCAATGACATTATTGCGAGGATGGTGGACGATGGAGGAGTCATTCAACGCGTTGCGGCGTTGAGACAGAACGTGGAGGCATGCTGGACGGCGGGAGAGAGGCAAGGGTTGGACTTTTTTCTTTGGAGAGGGCTGTTGTCGACTTGTGCTGTCGAGGGTATTGCCGGTGTTGAGCTTGGCTAGTCGGCTTCAAGATGTGGGAAGCTCAATAGGCAATAGTGAGACTGCAATCAAGCTCCAATTCTGAGCAACAAACCGTGAACCAGGATTTTCCCCACTCCAATTGCTCGGGCATAAATCCTGCCCGCCCACTGACACGTTGTCGAGCTCTAGCTTGAAACGGCATCGGACCACCTCCAAGATGGATATGGCCACATATCTTTCGTGAGAACCAAGACCGTGACACTCTACGGGAAGGAAATTAGTACTGCAAATACTACATTTACAAATAGGCTTACCTGCGCTGGGGGTATGAGTAATACCACCCGTAATAGTGCTCTCAGTCCTCTGAAGACTGAGATCTTCTGTGAGCATATCTCCTCTGCAGTCTTTTCTCCCTGCACACGCGCCAAGATACCAGCACACTGTTCATGACCCCGCCGAGGTGGAGAAGGCATCGCCAATGGATTTGGGGTGTCGGGTTCGGTGCTGACACTGCTGAGCGCAAACTTGAAGGCGGTCATCTTGGCTCATGGAACAGTCGCATCGCAAGCGTGGAAGTTAGAACAGGGAAGGAATGGCATTTCGAGCGAAAGGAAAGATGGCAAGATCGCGCCCCGTTGTAGTACTTGCACAGCATGGCCGTCATAATCATCTGGCAGGGGATAGGTGCGGTAAAAAATGAGAGCAGGGGTTCAAGCAGCAATCTGCTGCGCTAAGAACACCACAAACACGCCCATATACGCCCCTTCCACGACCATATCCCCTCTTCTCCGTCCCCCAGCAAATTTCCAGCTTTGCGACCACGCCGGCGACAAAGTCCAGTCGCGAATGAAAACGCGTTCAGCAGAGGCCCACTAGCACAGGCGAAAAGAAATGAGCACCATGTGTGGGTATAGCACTGGCAGCACCATGATATCCGGTCGATAGAGTCCCAGGACGCGACTTGACAGAGTATTATTCGTGTCGTCCAATCGAGTGACAGGTCACGCGTGACGGCACGTGCAGAGCGGCGGGAAGGAAGACAGTCAGAGACGCGACATTTGGAGTCGGCGCGGTGAGCTGAGGAGATGGGATTGCATTCGCATCGCGTCGGTGAAGAGTGTTAAAGCAGTATTGAAGACTCTGGTTTGGCTTTCTCGTTCGTGGAGACGGCAAACAACTTTGGCTTGGGTTGGCACGAGAGGTATTTCCCGAGTACGGCTAGTCGTTAGCGACCTTCCCACTTTCTGAAGCGCAGCAAAAACGGCCCCGCGGACCCCTCATTCCCATCGTTTGCAAGCGGGAACAAGACGGGCAGCCTTTCGTATGGTCGTGGAGAGCGGCGAGTGGCAAGTTGTGTGGTAAAAGAGAGCGGCAGGCGAGTGGATACATGTTCTCGTGCCGCTGGGCTGTGGCGAAAGATTCGAAAGCAGTTAGAAGAAGTTGGAGAGGAGGAGATAAATAACGCACCTTGTCGCTGTCTGGTTACTTCAAGTCCGCCCCTTCTACAAGGCATTCGCAGGTCTCGAGGCGTGCTGGTGCAAGAATGAAAGTGTCATGCCGAATCTTGAAGGAGGCCAAATGTGTGGGGTATTGAGCGAGGAGTATGGGTGAGACAGGCTCGATGGGCTGGTCTGTCAAGGAAGAAGTCAGTGGATGCGCTGAAAACTTCAGTGGTTACGCACCTTTAGCCTTCCCAGTCTCGCTTTGCGACAGTAGTTTGAGGACAAGAGTCACAAGACGGTCTGAAAAGAGGACGTGAGATTCAATGCAAAAGCACAAGCAAAGTGGAGACGTACCTACATAGTAACCGCCTGCAACCCCGATAGGCACCGTGCAGCGCCGAAGGAGAAGACTCCCAAGCCATGAAGAGTCTATATACATAGTTGTGATGGTTTTCGTGTCGTTGGCCCGTTGCGGAAGCTACGAGAAAAATGAGCAAACACCGGCTGACAAACCGGATAGCGGACCTTACCGGGCTTGAGCCCTTCGCTGTCGCTTCGACCCCGTCAATATCTCGCTCCGTCGACCGTGAGCGGCTCCATGAGGTTACACGGGTAAGGCCTTATTACGCATTGCCCGCCTTTCCCAATAGATGAGGAGATACTCGAAGTCTACGATGGGGCAGCCGCCACAGACGATGGTGTTGGAGCACTTTACACGAGCGTGGCTGCTGAAAAGGGAAGCAGAGTCGTTGCGTATGTAGGTCATCGTGGTGGAGGGAGAAGAAGATCGAAGATCACGTGCTCCGAGTCGGACCGGTGCCGATCTTCCTTCTCTCTTCTCCACCACAACCATGTACCTTCCTCCTCGCTGTCCGACACCGCTGAAGGCCATCCGTGGCTCGCCCGAGTGCGACATGGGAGGTGCGGGCCCTAGAGTAGTGCATTTTCCCTTGTGCTGACCTGTTTTACTAGTGCTTCTTGCCCGACGGCGGGCGAATGTTGTCGCCACTCTCTCTTCTCCCACCACGCGACGGCCGACTACATCGTTCTTTCAAAGCTTGCCGGCCCCGCCATGCTCTCTCTCCAACACCAGCGCAAAGGCTCAGGGTCGTGAGCGTAAGCGACAACCACCGGCGTTTCGGGTCCATAACCGTGTCGCTTACCATCTTCTCCCGCCTTCGTCATCCCGCACGCTCACTTCACCGACGAGCCCGCTCGCAGCCCAGCTCGGACGACATGGCCGTGTCCCGCATCTGGACGCCGCGGCAATGCTACCGCTAACTCAACGCCAAGCTCCCCAAATCAAGCTGCAGTGTGCGAGGACGCATTACCTCCCTCCAGCAACCGGCAAACGCTTCGCACCTCGCGGCTGCCTTCGGAAACTACGAAATCGACACTGAAAATGGCAAGGTCATCAGCAACGGCGCTCTCCTCAAGGCGCAGAAGACGTACAAGTCGGAAATCGCCCACAAGACACGGGGCCGTGCTGCAATGGAGGGGAAGGTACAAGTCTACGGGGGGTTGTCTATCCGCTCAGAGCGATGTCGGTGCGTCGCCACAGCCATTCAGATCTGGAACGGTCTGATTGTCTTTCGTGGTTTCATAGAGTGTCAGCTTATGACCACACTACAACCAGGCGCGAAAAACCACCGTGGGGGAGTGCATGGATATGGACACAATGTGCGTCCCCGCTCGGCGTCCTCTTCATCACGACAACTGACACTGCATCTGGCAATCCGCTCTGGCGCGTTCAGTGTCTCACCACGCCAATGTCTGGACTGGCTGTCGCGCCGCTGAGCAATCACGGAGTCATTACGGTATGTGTTGTTTTCCGGTTGTTCCGTCTGATTCTCTATCCGCAGCTTCCTCCGGGCTTTCATCTACAATGGCCTGTGTTGCCGCTCGAGCGATCGATCGAGCTTCGATATCAACGGACGCTGGACGCTGGTCACGGTGTGTGGTCCCCAAGCCTCCGTGCCCGCTTACGTTTCCTCAGGCCGAGCGTTCCTCAAGACCAGCACGAACTGGACTGAAACTGGGCCGCGTGGTGCCGGTGTTGGGAACGCCCGTGGGATGGATGCAGGTGTATGGGTACGGTAGGCGAGATCGATTTGGTTCGTTTTCAATTTTGAATTTTGAATTCTGAATTCGCCGAGGACAGGGAATGACAGATGGATGGCGGATTGGTGATGGGAAATTGATGATTGATGTTATGATTGATGTAATGACATGACGCAAATTTTCCTTGCCTCCCCCCCCCCACCCTCCAGTCAATCCTGACTGGCGCCCGTGTTAGGGTTGAATCAGACCACATAGCAGGTGTTACCGTTGGTCTGAGGTGTCTTTCTTCTCCTTTAATCAGGAATAACATTGGTTTTGGCCTCCGGTAAGCCTTATTCAAGTACAAAAATTATGGTCCAGCTAATTTTTTGGTCCAGTCTGTCCTCTAAATCTATTTGCTGTACACAGATAGAAAGATTCCATGCCTAAGGTGATTTTATAACTTATTATTTGGGGTGAATTCAACACTAAAATAGAATAAACGCAAACGGACCCAAGACGAAGCTAATATTGGGTCTCGTAAGGCCAAATCTGGCAAGGTGCCTATAGAAAACAAGTCTCCTCTTCCCAAGAGTTGCAATGTTCTTCCACCATCAACAAACTATGTCGCTCCTGCTGGCTTTCTTCCCTCGAATACTGGCGATTCTTGGAAAAGCTTAAGGTAAAGCGAGGACTTACCATCCGTGAACATATTCTACGTGGTAAGGTAGAACATATCTTCAGCGAGATAACTGTTTACCATCGGTCTGTTCCGCTCATTCCTTCCATTATGATTTTGGCTAAGAATTCCACAGCCATCTCTTTAACTGGATCTTCCCTTCTCTGGTTCAAGCCGAACTTGATGACTTTCGTAGCTATTGGAATTCACACAAGATTCGCTACCAGGCAGACAAAATCATGCCTTCAGGCCATGTTCCTTCAGATACTGCAGAACACCCTCAGCTGTTTGGAGGTATCAATTGCTTCATCAAGGTACCGGTCGCAACAGTAGAAGACCTTCGCGCTGCATTATCAGATGAGGTTGGACCACGAGAGCAACACTTGCGCTGAGTGTCACCTGAGTTTGAGCAGTTTGCACAAACGGTCTATGAGTCACTTGGGAGGCCCGACCTCACCTTAGCAAGTAGCTGGGACGTATTCTCACAGATGTCATTAGAGATTGAGAGACTAGGACCAGATATGTGGCCAGAAATGGAGTAAAAGTATCACTTGGCATGTATTTCCCTTGCACCTCAACCCGTAGACACACAAATCTAGTACTTCCTAACATATAAGACTTGAGAGAAATAATATTAAATAAGTGGCCGCTCTCAGGTTTGAACATCCGCCATCCATCTGTCATTCCCTGTCCTCGGCGAATTCAGAATTCAAAATTCAAAATTGAAAACGAACCAAATCGATCTCGCCTACCGTAGTATGGGAGGATGAACTGGTGGGTGCACTAGTGCTTGGACTATAGTATCGTGTGTCGTAGCGTAGAAGATACATCGTTTTTTGATTGTGTTGATTTATAAAATGTGGTTGATTTTTCGGTGGTCATCACCTTGCTTGCAAGGTCCCTGCCCGGTGACTACTGTACATGATGATGTAATGTCGATCAGACAAACAAAGACAAACTAACCCGAAGACACTGACCAAAAACCCAAAACCTTCGTAGAAACCTCGGAGCAACATACACCGCCTCCTCTGTACTTTGTCATCTAGTTGTGTAATGTAATGTAGCGTAATTATCAATTAGTAAAATCGAGTTGCTCGTGTTATCAAGCCGTCAGAGTTCAATGATCGACAGAGACTTCCTATTGGAAATGTTCTTTCGACAAAGCTATTGCCCTCACTCCTTTCCATCTTTACATTGACGTTTCTCCTCCACAACCGTCAGGAATAACGTAAGCGTATTTACCTATATTGTTCGTTTCTCCATAGATATCGGGCCCGATGACGACGACACGAACCGCAACTAATCCAATGCTGCAAATCGCCTTCGTCTTCGGATCCATATATGCGTCCAACGGATAAAGTTTGCTGGGCGGTATGAAACACTTCTCCCCAAAGTCCGTGTGCACTAGCAGAGGCTCGAATAGCTGGTTAGGATAAACCATTCTTTGCAGCTCTATGTAGCCACAGTTCCCTGCTTGGATGGCCTCGACTCCGGTTTGGGTGGCGGCATTGGACTGATGAAATTTGACGTCAAGTCGTCGGGAGACAAGTTCGCGTCTGCATAGCCATTCTGGACTAGGGCGATAAGATGGAATTATTTGAGAACGGCTTTCGCGTGAACCGGTGTCGATTCTGACGTCGACGCACAGAACCTGGATCTTGGAGATATCAGCGCGAAGTTCCCACTAAGATATTCAGTGAATGGCACCGTTTCTTGCCCATTACTTGGTGTTGTCTGATCGTCAACTTTATGTAGTTGCTTTCGATGATTTCGTTGTCTTACTCACCATTTTCACCTCCAACGCTCCAACAATTTTGAGGTTAGGGCTGAGAAAGATTCTGCGTATAATGGTTCCTCGTTTGTCTTGGTAGGCGCCTCGGATAATGATGATTTGATCACCAAGGATGAAGTGCCGACGAAGGGACGCTATGTCCACGTCCAAAAAATCGTCGTTCTGCTTTTTTACCCGGACTGTTACCGCACCCATTTCACTCCGCATGCTATCGACGTATGCTGTCCCCATACCTCTGACCTCGACCCTTTCTCCTTCGATTGGTTGAAGATCGTGCGCAAAAAGATGACGTTGGATGCATCGTAGCGGCACAGACACTACATCGTTCGGATGCCACGGTTTGAGGAGTTCTTGTACTAGAGCGGCGGATTCGCTGTTGATGATTTCCCCTTGGCTGAAGACCCCACAGCGTGCAGTCAAGGTATCTGGAAAGTCGATGATATAACCCCCCGTTTGGAGAACATGGGTGGTTGGAGGTGAAGCCAACACGTGTACCTGGGGACAATTCCATGCCAGGTAGGTGTGTTACAATGCTGCCAAGTAAGAGAGAGTTCGACTGTTGCCACCGATTCAACATTGTTTGTGGTGGGCTTAAACCGATTAGAGAGACGCAGTCTTCGATGGCGCAATGAGCGGATAGCTTGAATCTTTGCAATATTCCTTCACTTGATTCGGCCAAGAAAAATTCGTGGTCTTCAAGAAGAATCCATTGGCCCCTGGAGAGCTTTCCTAGGTTGAATTGGAGTTGCGTCCACCGATATTGCCAAGCGTGTGGGTGTGTGGCTGAATTTGGGCCCCTCGGACTCGTCAACCGGTCGGATTGGACCATAGAACGTGCATCTACCGTGTTGCAGTTGAAGGCATAGGAAGAAATAGATTTTCGCGGACGTACTGCTTTGCCGCGTCACCGTATAGTTTTCCATTTCTCGTATCATTTCTCTCACAACTGGGACCTGGAATCCAGCAATAATTTGTTTCTAGCCTTAGGGAAGAAGTAGGGAAGCGAGTGATCATACAAGAGAGAAAGGAGTCATTGGCACGTGGTCAGTCTAAAATTAATTTTTTATGTTCATCTACAATCTCTGATAACGAGTTTGCGTTGCAATCGTGCAGGCATCTAATCTCGCGTCCTCGTCCCGAAGTTGCAGCGAAGGGTGAACTGTGAATAATTTCACATCAAACTCTCTTAAAATCCGGATGTTATCTCGGCCATGGCTTCTTGAAAGAGCGACATACGCATTGAAGGCCGTTAATTTCCCTGAAGGTGGTGGCGCCAAGTCAATGACGACGTGTTCTATAGTTTGACCTTGTGCTTTATAGTCCGTAAAGGAGTAGCCTGGTGTCATGGCGTATTGCCGTCGCGCGATTGTACTGGGTTCTTGTGGAGTGATCACTTCAAATTTCGCCACCGATGGTACAATGGGTATCACACCTGTTTCAAGGCCTTCGAAGGGGGGGAAAGTGCTATGATGAGGCTTGAATAAAACGACCGCTGGCGGGTACTTCAAGACGGTATCACCTGTTGTTGGATCTTCGTGGAGCGGCAGAGGCTCTCGATAGTCGAGGACGATATCTTTCACGGTCCCTCCAGTGCCGTTTGCTAACTCTGCTTCAGTAGAGATATTCCAGAGTACCATTGCTTCCATACCAATGGCAATTTGGAGTTCGTCCGGCAAACGATTGGATTTCTTAGTACTGATACTAGCCACGGCTAGCCTTTGCCAAGCGTTTAGCTGACCCCCACCTTTGCTTACTCGATCTTCGCTTGGTGAGCGATATACACGATGCCCTGTTTGCGCTGTATGTTTTCTCAGGGATTGGGTGTTCCACAGCGTTCTTGCACTGTGTCGTGGAGTAACCAGATATGCCTTGTCCCATGGGGGGGATTTCCAGTCCACTGGGGTGCTCTTCGGACTATCGATGAGCAGAGTTTCCAATAAGTCCATATCTTCGCCAGTGCATGCCCCGACGCGCAGTCGCTTGAGCAGCGCCATCCAGCCAGGATCTGTGATTCGTCGCTGCTCAGTCAGAGTGACCACGGTTGTAAACTGGCGATAGAGTAATAGGCCTTCGCTGCAGACTTGTGAGTCACCGTAGAACAAAGCTTGCTGAATGCTGCCAACCGGAGGAAATTGGTGAAGATCTCCGACCAATATACGTTAACTAGGCCAAACGCGTCCGATGGGAGTGCCTCTTTTCTATCTTGCTTTATAACACCCATGATCTGTGAGAGAAGGACTAGAATTTTTTTCGTGAGCATTGAAAACTCGTCGATGACAAGATACTTGGTGGGGCCAATGTTTCTTTGGCGTTTCGCTTGTGTCGCATCTGATCCTCGAGGTTTCGTGTCGCCGAAACCAATACCAGCCCAGCTGTGAACGGTTTGTCCCCCAAACATGCTCGCCGCAACCCCTGTTGTGGCTGTCAGGGCTAGCATTTCCCGAGCATGAAGTTGGTCAAAGGTTCTAGCAATCGCACCAAGAGCAACTGTTTTCCCCGTCCCTCCTTCTCCACGGATGATCATCAGCAACTGTTCGGGCTTTCTGCCAGCCAGAGTCTCGCGAAGGTGGTCCGCGACAATGTTGTGAGCTCGTCGTTGTTCTTGGTTTAACTCGGGCCCAATTGTCTCCCGGGAATCTGAAGTTATGTCCGTGATTGTGCCCAAGTTGCGTCCTTGATCACTACCAGAAACTGGAGGGTCGATGTCCATAGAGCCTGAAAGCGGCATGATGTTTGTGTCGCCCATAGTCAACGGTACATGCGGTGTAAACGCGTCGCTTTTGACATATGCAGCTACTGTTTTGGCCCATTGTGCGTATGTTGACATGTCTGCTAGTGTTGCTTGACGAACGTGAGGTTGAGGAGTAACTCGCGTATACTCATCGGAAAATATACCTTTTCGCAGGGCGACATCAAGGGCTTGCTGGCCATATAAACGTTCCCGAGGTCCTTGTTGTGCCTGCCGAGCACATTGTATCTCAGCCTCGGTTGGTTCTTGTGCCACGAAAACTGTTGAAGCAACACCTTGATTATTTGCTGACTGGACGACGGGTTCTGATGTCCTCGAACCCTCATTGTTTGCAGACCCCGACCTATCCTTCTGGCGACGAGCAGCGTGATCCGAGCATTCGTAGAAATACTGGATATTGATTAGGATCTGGTGTTGCTCCGCTGTCGCGTCGGCGGCAAACTTTTCAAACGCAGCGGTGAAAGTAGGTTCTCCGCCTGGCAAGTCTCGTAATGAACGCCACGGCTTCAAAAGCATCAGCATTTGCGCACTGTAATACTCACCGGCCACCCCAACACTTTTACGTGCAAACCATTGTCCCATGAAATGTAAATTGACTTCCTGGCTTTTTGCTCGGAAGATGCGACAATGACCCTTTCACTTTGCTCCTTCACGATAGGGTACGCGAATGCTAGGGGGTCTTCCGCCCCTGTTCCGGCTGGTGGGTGGCGGTTCTGTTGCTACTGGGATATCGTCAATGTCCATTGCATCTTCTTGCTGTGTCGCTGCAGGAGGCGCGGATTCTGGTGGAGCGTCGGTGTCTGCTGCAGGTTCTAGTAGAGCGTTCGGGACTTCTGTATTCGCTGTCTTGGAGCGTGGTGTGTTGAGCATCTTGCCATCGTATGTGAGAGTGAAATAGTCGTAAAGATTCATGTTTTCCAACTGGTCGCCACGGTCCGTGTACTCTTTGAGTTGATCCTTTAGAATGAATGTTCCGTCTGAGTTGCGTGTTAATGTAGATTTTTCATTCTGTTCACTGGATTAGAATCGTTCTTCAGAACGACAGATGACATACCGGTTCGTCCTCTGTTATTTCCGAAGTCATTGTGGAGAGTAACCTATCGTTTTCGCTGTAAAATGAGTGCAATCAGTGCTAAGTTTCAGGTCAAAGACAACACCTACGAAGCAACCATAAGATATGGAAATACCTGACGCAGTTGCGCTGTCATGCGGTCCCAATAAATCCGAATATAGGTATGAGAGATATATCGATCTCCCCAACCCATCAAATATCCCACAACCTCCGGTCCGCTAAATTCTTGTTGATGGTTGAGTACATTAGCACACGCTTGAACCAGCCGTTTGTTCTTGTCCAAGTTGCGCGTTTGTCTCGCGCTAAGTTTTTCCTGGAATTGGATGGCTTTGGCCATCAACGCGGATGCATTTGCTGCTTGGATTTGTCGCTTTGCGATATACAGTGTGATGTAGAAGGTGATGTCTTTGGTTTCAGCTCCATTGGTGATTAGTTTCATGTCGTGGTTGGCCCTCGTGATTTGCAGTAGTGTTGGATTCCAGGCGTTGATGAAGCGATACAATCGCTTTGGCCCCCAGTCTCCCGTCTCTGTGACCCAATCGTCTTCGGCGGTCCGCCATGGTGCTCTTCGTTTGCACTCAAAACGACCATTTTTCGCTTTGAGACAAGTTTCCAGCTTACAGTCATGAACTTGCACCACACGTGCAAGACGGGCTTCGGCAGCAGCGGCCCGAGCCGGGTAATTTGGCTTTCGTGGATCTTCGGGCCGAGAAAATGCGAGATTTTTCTTGGCTGGCAGCTTCATCAGCGTGTCTCCCGTGGTTCCAGCGATATGTGCGCGCATGTTCCTCGATATGAACGCGCGCATTTTTGCTCGAAATTGTTCCGATAACAGAGCCTCTTTCATCATTTGGGCGGTTGGTGCACCACGGAGCCAAAAAAGGACATGAAAATGCAGGGAGCCGCGAGCTTGTGCCTCCACAGTGCCGATGTAACCGTTGACGTAGCCTACTATGCCACAGCGGCGTTCGATTCCACCGTGTGGATTAACCTTGATACCAAAAACCTCCTCCAGAATGACTCGAATAAATAAGTGGAAAAATTCAGCGGAAGCGAAGGGATCACCCGCAATGGTTTTGAGACGAAAGTTGCTGTCTGGGCCTGCCGTCGCCATGAAGTTATCGAGATCGATTTCTACCCCAGCCAGGACTTGCGCAATGGGATCGCTAGTGTCGGAAAGATTGAAGGTTGCCCAGATGGTTGGAGGATTAAACCGCAAAGACATCCCCCATACTTGAGCACGAATGCTGATTCGGCTCTCATCGGTACCTGTAACCCATGCACGAACAGCTGTAATATGTTTGCGAAAGGTCAAGATGGTGGGATTGCTGATTGGTTGTTTGCGTTCTTCTTCCCTGCTTGCTTTCAAAAAGTCTTCTGCGGTGAGTCGTTGGAAGGCATCTTGGTTTTGAAAAAAGGTCTTGAAATCCAGCTGTAGGCATGCTGAACGACAGACCTCTCGTTTAACTTGAACCCCGAAGGCTTGAAACATAAAATACAAGTCCTTTCGAAGCGCCCGTCGTCATATTGCAGTGCCCATCGAACATGTTCCTCGTGCGACACTTGGTCCTGGCGATCGACTTCAATCCCGCCGAGGCCATATGGAAAGAGGAGGGGGAATGTACCAAGAAGATGATTGGCGTCCAATGGTCCACCAGTTGTTCGCTGACCATTGACCTCTCGTGGATATTCGTTCACAAATTGATTGCCAGGGCGGACTGCATACTTGCGAGTCTCTTCCGGTGCTAGGTTTTTCGTTGCCGCAGCAAATAACTCCTCACTATTAATGGAATCAGCAGATATATCTATAGCCCCATGAGGCTGGAGAGGAATAACATCGCATTCTAGCCATTGTGTTAGTATGGGGAAGACAGGCCGCTGAAGTTCACTTACCATATTTTCCTTGGTCATCATGATTTTCATTGTCTAGACTATCCACCGGCAATAAATCAATGGGAAAGAAATGAGTGAAATGGCAGATGCTGCATGAGGACGACCTACCGTGTCGCTGGCAAGTCGCGCTCTTCTGCTTCATTGACTTGAGTATCTGCGCCATCATCCGCATCGGATGGCACATAACCACCATGTTCACGAGCTATGACCGAAGCATCTTCTGTATATCGAGCTGTTGTTGTTAGCTCCTCTGGTACGCCGTGTTCGGGGAGTTCTGCAAGGCGTTCCGAGGAAATTTCGATGTTGGCATATAACGGGTTGTTGGCTTGAAGCCACACTAATGCGTCGTGAACCCTTCTTCGCTGTACCTCGAACATCTTCGGAAGGACAAACAAAGGTACATTCTTTGCCCCGACGAACGTGACAGAAATTGTCGCAGCCAAAATGCCGATAGGACGAGGCATTAGGTTGCCGGTAACCATTTCCTCGATGAGGGTAGGATTCAGTCTGTAGGTCGAGACATTGCCTCGCATTCCAGTTTTCATGGTGTCGACGTCCCCAGGCATCGCTTCCGGCCTTCTTTGGGAAAAGTTTGACGACAAAAGCCACCGGAAAATAAAGTCCAACAAGTAGTAGTTCAGGCAGGTTAAGAATGGACAACACAGATGGAACTTGGCCAATCCACATGTTGTTTGCGAGGGACAAAGGAGGGCGCAATCGAAGAACAAGTTTGGCGCGACATTTGAGACATAAGAAATGAGGAGGAGCCTGACCCAGTGCCGGTTGGTGAAGGAGCATGCCTCTATAAAGAACATGGGCACTATGTGGATGTGTTGGCGCCAAATAAGTAGGGTTGGGAATGTCGTCTGGTTCGCACACGACCAATTCCTGAAGAAATAATCTTCTAGCACAGACGAGACAGACCCCCTTCTTCAGTGCTGCATTCCCAGTCCGCTCAATGGCCCTCAAGTATTGTCAGTGAATTGCCAATGAACAAGAAGTGCCCTACCGTGCAATACAATCGTGCAGGACATTGTCGCTTACTGGCTGAAGAAAGGGTCCCTCGATCAATGCTTGAAGGTCGCCTTGATTTATGTTCTGAGTGGGCTGGATAATTTCAGCAACTTTTCGTCGTTTGCGTGGTCGAGAAGATAGATCATTTCTCGGGCCTCGCTTGCTACCTAGGCATGTCGACGCTGACTCTATAATTTGGTGAATTTGTTCCGTTGAAAGATTTGAAGCAAATCGGAGCAGTTGCTCGCGTTTGCGACGCGCGTTTTTTGGTGCCGGTTGTATTGCCTCGAGTACACCAATTATTTGGGGAATTGTGTGGTTTTGCAACGCGTCTTCGAGGACTGAAAAGGGTCAATGGATGCACAACGACAATAAAACACGCGTACTTCGATAGGACATGAGATATGAAGTTCCCCTCCCCGTGTTTAAATGCTTTTTTCGAAATCGCTCGCTTTGTCAATCGTCTTGTAAGCGATGTGGACGCGTTAGTGCTCATGATCTCAGTCATCGGCTTGAAATGGAAGTCCCTGGTCAATTCGCAATACGCGTTACATACACAGGTAAAGGTTTTGTGGGTCGAATTTACTCAGAACAAGTCAGCAAACATTTCCCAGCCATCGAGTCGCGCGACATACCTGTCCTCCTTCACCTTCGAGTATTTCCCCGCGCTTGATACTCCCACACATATACACATTCAGTCTGTTGGTGACCAGTATTGAACTGGAAGAGGCCTTGAAGAGGCCCTTCGCGATTTACCCTTCATTCAGAAAAGTCGCGGGTCTTACGTCTGAATATTGAGTAGAGTCAGTACTAGTTGTAACTCATAAGAAGAAGAAAACCAGAGCAGCCCGTGTTTTATTGCCTTTCTCTCGAAAGGAATTGGTCCAAGTCAACGAGCTTCAACATCACATGACTAATGAGTCAGCAGTAACGCAGACGTGACCGTGACCAGCTTTTGACCGACCCACATTCAATGGACATTCTTGAACCCACTGCCGTGTCCTCGTTCACCCAAGCGATAGAGGAATCTGTGTCAGCGGAGATAGAAGGTCTTCCTGAGGTTCTTTTTGCCTTTAGTGCTTACCAGCCATTGACACTCACTCTTTTTATCAGGACCATCCGACTTACACTTGTTTGCTTTACCCCACCTCCGGCACTACCTCTACGTTCGTAGAGGTTCCCTGTCATTATGGTGCTCGAGCTGCAGCTAGCCCGTATGACCTGGACATCATGCGGTGGATTGGTCTCGGGACAAGCGGTGATGCATCCTCTTATGACCAAGACGAGCAGGCAATAACTGTCCACCATTGGCCTCTCGATGACCCGCAGCCGCTGAAACGCTCTTATACGGTCTTTGCCGCTCCACAGACCGTTGCGGATCACAAAACTACCAGTAAAAGTCAACCCATCAACGCTATGGTCCATAGCATGGTTTCGACCTCAACTTCTCTCGCGCCATGGCGCGGCAACATTCTCGTTTCTCGCAGCTCTTCGCATCATGGTCGTAAATCCAAATATGAGATGGGTGTTTCAGATATGACTGACCGCGATTTGTATACTGCTGACGCGATTGTCCGATGGTGAGCGCTTTCGATTTGGTTTGTCACCACCCACACTCACTATTATTCATCGACAGTTTAATTCAAGAGGGCTTATTAGGTCGTAATTCGTCAAGGTACTTTGCGCTTGGAGTATAAAATCCTGGGTAGTTGTTGTTTGTCTGCACAATGCCAACCGAACATTCCCCACTCACTTCCCTTGAAGCCTTTTGTCTTGTCCTTCGTCACTCGACCTGGAGGGAGGTAGTCCACCTATCTCACACATGCACCACAGTCCGTCGCCTTGCCCAGAGCATGATCTCCAATAGAATCGCTTGGAGAATCGGTCGGATCCTTTTGGGTGCCAGTTCCTCCATTTCTCAACGCAAAAGTGCTACCTACCTCCTACTCGAGCTCCTCGAATCCACCAACACGATAGTTGTGGGGTCCATACCATCGGCCGTTATGACTCTCTCTTTCGCCGAAGACTCCAAACTCCGAATCGATAATCTTAATCTGGTAGTTTCCGATGTGGAGGCTCAGAAATGGTACCGATTTTTGTTGGAAACGATGGGGTTCAAATGGTAAATGTCACTGTTACACACCTCGAAATCTGACAACAACAGTAGGGATTTCAGCGACACGATACCTATAAGACTTCAGGGCATTTACGTGCGCATACTATCTTTCGTCGTGAAGTAAGGCTCCTCCATAAAGTGATACCAGCTCATCAAATACAGGGGATGGTTATTACTATTTCAAGCGACTTCAAGATGCCTATTGCGATCTGTCTTTGCTAGCGAATCCACTTGTCAAATGAACTTCATGACGTTGCTACGCTGTATTCAGCATACCCTCGTTTAACTATCGAACGAAAAGCTCTTCCGGGCTGGACCACCGGAGCCATTTCGTTCCAATTCATGGCCAACCAGATTCTGAATCAAATCAGCATGGGAGCGCATATCAAACTACTCACTGACAGTGCACACCTCCGACGACCCTGTGGGAAGGAGTGCCCTCGTGCATGGCGTTTAGTCAGTGGGTTGAATGGTTTTGGTCGATTCCACTTCAAAGCGCATGACGAAACCATCAATTTCGGTCAGTCAGCCAGGGTGTTTTGGAGGCTGTACGGCTCTTGTGAAAACGAACTTTGTCGTTTTCGAGGGGTTTGTCATCAAGTATTGTAATCAGTATATAAAGACTGTAGGTCGTTAGTGAGAAACAATCCTCCCCTCTCATATGTTCCAACTTGACTTGGACTGTCAACTTTTGATCGTCAACCAAGTTTGTCTCACGACTTTTTTGGTTCTCACCGCGGTTTGTCGACGAACACGGTTCCTCGCTCACTTTGTGCTGCGTCACCGGATCGACGTTCTTCTCACTTACTTCCACATTCTTCCGCGAGATCGTGATCGCTTCTGGCAAATCTTGCGAACAGCCAATGGCGGGCTAACTGGTTCTTCCCTTTTGTGGGTGACTGAACCAAACCCTCGCTGGCGACCAAACGACTTGAACGTGCTCATTGGAAGCAGTGGCCTCGATTTGTTTATCAATTTCTTTGACGGTCGTTTATGGAGGGCTCGCACTGTTGCTTCAAGGCTGCCGCGTTGTCTGCCTTATCCCGCTGCCAGTCCGTTGCTTTCCTATCCCCGAAAATCACACTGGGTGGCCAGAACCATCTATTTCATCTCCAAACTCGACGGCCACGTTATCACTGTGACGCAGTCTGTAGAAACGGTACCTGCACGCTTAATGCTGGAAGTGGAACATTCGCTCCAGGCAGGATTACTCACACCTTCAGCTTTGATACTGGTCTACCCGAAACACTTCCTCAATCGAATCACTGTGCGACGTCATGGAGGAGTACTGCGATATTCTGACCAAGACCGTCCCGTGAACCCCTCGACATTAATTAACCGTGACATTCGATATCGCCATATCACTGCTCGCCCGTCTGGGGTAGCTTGTTTGCGACAAGAATGCCCAGGCTTGATCCGCAGATTACGAGCGGCGCGTGGTATCTTGACGATTTCCTGGTCAAAGCGGGCCGATAATGTGGGCGAACACGCGCGACAAGGTTTTCTACTGGGCTATTACGCATTTTACTGGTCTTGGGGTATTTGCCTCAACTACAAGTGTGCATTGTACTTGCAACCTCGCGATTTTTTCGTTCCTGGACCAACTGAGGAAGTCGAAGAAGCCAACCCCAAGTACACAGCAGTTATGCGCAAAATCGAAGCCATCAATAGGATCCATCCGGTAAGGTCTTCAAATCTGACTCTCCAGTCTAAAAACTTTGGCAGGCGTTCGCGCATTCTTTTCCAGGGTTGCTTTTCCCAACGTCATGCCCCGCCCCCTTGGTCGTACCGGTTCCTCTGGACCATCACACCACCATTTACCGATCAATCGACGACCTTTGCGTGTATGCTTGGATTCAAGCCCAGCTCCCATCCGCTTACCGGCTCATTCTATTCTCGTCGCCAATGATCGGTGGCGGTTCTATCACCATGGCCAGTCTGAACGCGCAGCGAATCTATGTATCAAGCGACATTCATCTAGCTCTGTTCTTGCAGACAACCCAACCCGGGCTTCGTCAAAATCTTCTGCTTTCCCCGAATTACAACAGAATGGATAGCGCCCAACCTCAGAACAACGCAATCCATGGCGAGTCCTCGCAATATGTTTTCAAGGCGACAGTATTGTACACCCCCATGTGGTTGGTGAAGAACTGTGTATAAAGGCCATCCGAATGCAAGTCTACTCCTCATGTATGGCATGAAACTGAAATTTTTCCGTCTTAGGTGGTGGGAAACCAATCCTCGGTTTATCGACGCATTACATTATCCATCGTTGCTTACACCAGCGTAGAATCACAAGTGATTTGTCTATACTCAATACAAGAAAGAATCCCACCTCTTTGATTTAATTTTGAGACGAGAATGAAGTGGTGCATGAGAACAAAGAGACGTTCGCTCTCTAATCAGCCATGATCATGATGACATGGCCTCAACTCAGGCTTACTCAGCACTTCCCAAGCCGGATCAAATAGCTGACTCACCTATCCAATCGTGATTATCCTGGACCGCCATGCACACTAATGATGACACAAAAAACTTCGCAAAACCAGCCTGCCATTCCTATAAAAGCCCTACTCAAATGCTCAAATTGCGACCCTCCTCACACCGATGTTTCAACAACTGCGAGCGGCATACTTGGAAGGCAGTCAATACGTTGCTTCGTCGAAATTCGCCAGCGCTAACAAGTGGAAGCGCCATAAAACCGGGCACACAGTGACTTCGCGAGCAGATGGGGCTCCCTTGACCAATCCTCGTGACGACGGACCCATGTCAATCTCGGTAATGACTGTGGTGGGGAAAGTTAGCGAAACAGGACTTTATGTCGTTGGGCTTGGAGGCTGGAACCGTCAACGCACATACAAGCTTTCTGAAGCTAAATATCAATTTCAATTGGAGCGCCCAGGTGAAGTCGATTTATTTCGATCTCTCATGAACACTGACTTCTCCAAAACAAGACGGTACGGTCTTTCTTGAAGACTGGAACAACGTTCTTCAAAACATGCATAAGCTACAACAAGAAATCAAACAAACGAAACGAGCCGATAACTTCATTATAACGGACACTTCATCCGAGGGTTATCTTCGTTTCATCCAGCATATTTTCACGAAGAAGGATGACACCAACAAAGGTACGACATATGCTATATGCACCGTTCGCACTTTCTTACAACAGATTAGATGTGGTTGGATATGATTACGACAAGTGGCCTGTGGACGAGGAGTTGGAGATTGACTTTTATGAGCTTTGCCAGAAAAATATCTTCGCTCCCGTCTTGGTGCGGAATCCGGAAGGTCAACAACTCGGTCCCGGTGAGCTCGCACAAACGCTCAAAGGAAGCATGGTCGAGGTGCATTTCCAGTTGCGTCATTACGTTGTCAGTGATCAGCAAGGAAGCAAATACGACTCATTCAACGGTGAGTTGACGCCCAATCTTTGTCCATGACTGACCCCGTCTACAGCATATCCTAGTGAAGTCTTGATACTTGACAGCGGAATGACCATGAAGCCAAAACCGTATAAAACTTGGTTTGACATCATTGGGAGCTTCCCCCATTCTCCTGCCACTCCGGCGAGGCTACAACACCTTCCGTCTCCACTGCCTGGGGCCTCAATTCCTCGTCACATTCCTTATCTAGTGGGCAACAATCAAACCGCACGCCCGCTTCGAGTCTAAACCCTGCAGCGGGATTCCCAACATCCCTGAGACTCCCACTCGCCGTCAATTCCATGGTCAAAGTATCGCAATTCTCGCTGCACCGCCAGAATACCGCCCCCATGCAACGATGAACTTGACGGAGGACACTTCCCTGAGCACTGAAAGCTCCTTGACGCAATCTACCGACTCCAACATTCCCGTCCAACCGCGATTCCCTTACCCCGGTCCACCACCGCCTCCATTCCGTCCAATTTACGGTGGCGACGCTAACATGCGATTGGTCCCGAGAAACCCGATTTATCCTGCAGATGCCGATGTTTTCTCTTCGTCGCATGACCAACTCATATCGACAGCTTCGAGACAAGATCTTCTGGGAAATGAAATCCAGAGCGACGCGGAGATGCAGCAGTGGACCGTCGACCCAAGTTATACTGAAGGGCACGCCGCGTCGAGCCCATATGCTACTGCCCTCGATTCTTATGATCACGCCCAATCCCCTGGTAAGTCAGTGCCACCGAATTCCTTCACAGCTTTTGACATGTGTATCAACAGACTCGGAAAGAACAGAGTAAACATCAACGAAAGCTATCGTGCCAAGAGTGCAACAACGTAATGCTCCCAAGACAACAACAACAATCGCGAGAAACTGGAGAGGTTCGATAGCAATCCCCTGTTGAAGTATATAGCTCACGCGCGTCATTCTATACACGTGTATGCTTACATAGATCATCGATTCTTGCTTTTGCCCTCTACCGAGACCTCGCCGCTCTTCGCGTTTGCCTCACCGCGCCCTTTTCCTTTCGCGCCGACGCCGCCTCGCTTGCTGCGCTCAACAGGTTATGGGCCCCGGCCCCTTTTTGTCGGCGCCCGACCCGTAGCCGAGTCACGTCACCACCACGTTCCTTTTTTCCTCTCGCTCCCTACCTTCTCGACATGGGTCTTGCCCCATACCTCGTCACCACTATCGACCACATACAGGACCTCCAGCCAGACAACTTCAAGAAGCATTACCCGCTTCTCAAGCAGTTCTTCCTCGCCGTCGGAGCCGGATGGATCACCCAGGACGAAGAACCGGAGCCGCTCTCAGCCGCCAACGAGAGAATTGACAGTGAGGTCTCCTACCTCATTCTGGCGAAAACACATGAGGACTACCGCACGAAGCTCACCGAAGCTTTCAACGGCTCGTGCCCGCTGGAAGGCACTCAAGGACAACTTCATCACCCGTACCCACTCCGACAGGCTCATTGCCTTCCAACAACTCATCACCATTGACCACAACATCGAAGATCCCATCGTGCTGTATACAACACAGGTCTCTAACCTCTGCACGAAACTAGCGCGATGGACCTCACCATCCCGGACGACATCAAGACGTGCATTCTTCTTGCACGCCTGAACCCCGGCATGTACTCTACGCGCAAGGATCTGGTCAAAAATGAGAAGTTCCCTTCCTATGAAGATGCTGCGGCCCGTCTGCGTTCGGACGCTCACGACAACTCTAAATCCGACCACATGATCAAGGTCGAAGATGTACCAGTGGCCTTTGGTCTTGCAGCTCGCATTCCATCTCCCCCTTCCGAACCACCACCACAGGAAGCATTCGCGAAGGGCTTCCGTTGGTGCTCCCCTCGCTCTGACAAGGATTGTTTCCGCTGCGGACGTGAAGGTCATCGGGCTCAGTTCTGCCTTGCGGACATGCCGCAAGCAGTTCGTGACTGGATCCTCAACTCCATCTCACGTCGTGAACAGGCACCAGCCCCTGCGCCTTCGAGCTATTCCCCATCGCTCTCTGGGCCCAAGACAGCCCGGAAAAGTGAGCAAGGTCTCGCTGCCCAAGGCCCCCATGTTTCCGACGATGACAGTTCCTCCGACGATGAACCACAAATACCTTGGGAGATCCTAGACAAGAAACAAAGGAAGACGTTCAAACGCCTTGGCTTCATGCCTCCGGCAAGTGCTTCGACTGCAGCTGCTTTCGCCAGCACCAGTCGTTATGTGATCTGAATCACGAGAGCCATTCGGGTCTCCTCCACCCCCCACAAGACACGAGGTGTATCGGATTCGGTGGGAGCTCATTTTCCATCTTGTTTCTTTCACCCACTGCTCTGCGTTTTTTCTTGCACAAGACACAAGACGACATGGATTCGGTGGGAGCCTTTTGTACCCTACATACATTCTTCTCGTATCCGCTGCTCGCTAGGTGGGAGTGTTGAAGTATATAGCTCACGCGCGTCATTCTATACACGTGTATGCTTACATAGATCATCGATTCTTGCTTTTGCCCTCTACCGAGACCTCGCCGCTCTTCGCGTTTGCCTCACCGCGCCCTTTTCCTTTCGCGCCGACGCCGCCTCGCTTGCTGCGCTCAACATCCCCATTGACAATGTATAGTAGTACTTTGCAGAAATTTGACCCCCGCTTATCTTTTTAATCGCGCGAAGTATCCTATCTGAACCTTGGCGCGGGCTGGGCCGGGCTTGGGGCCCACCAGAGCACCAGTCAGCCTAAACTCCTCAAAAGACAAACAAATTTAAACATCTGCGTGCCAAAGGAACGAGACGGAGGAGCGATACATATGCGATATGTGATAGCTGGAACTGAGCGGGAAGAGGTTGGATACAAGTTAATACTACCGCAAGGACAAGTCATGCTCGTTCGTCGAGATTATGTGACCAAAGTAGGTGACAGCGTCACGTGGGCGAGAATGAAGGTGACGGCCATCATCATGTCAACTGCAGAACTGAGCACAACACGGAAGCTCGCTGTTACTTGTAAGCGTCCTCAGCCGCTTGACAAACACTAATTACCATGCATACGTAGTCCCTCTGCAATTATCCCAGCAAAAACACGAGTGTCTTAGTCACAAATGAACAAGGCGACAATATTTATTTAGCACACTCATCCGCGCCACTGCGACTGAATTTCCTCATGTCCTCGCCGGCTCATCATGCACTAAACTCGACTGCCTTCGACATGGCTTTTGAGTCGCTATTTTTCGATATACCAGAGTCGAGTCACCTGGTTCCCCTCACCGCCCCAACACCCGACCAGCGGCAAGTTTATTCCTTCAAGGACCAACAGGCCAATCCTTCGTCAAAATTACGGGGAAGGTATTGGCTATCACATGCAACAACAAGGGCGACCAGGTAAGAACATTACTCATTCCCGCGAGAGGTTGAAGTCTCTCAGTTCATCGTCCTCGACTGTCCGGGTGCATACTTGCCAGACCATCTTTTCTGCGATGTCGTAGATTGGTTAAGCGGTGCTGCTGAAGACTTCAAGGCGGCAGATTCAATGGTGAGTCCGCTTCACCTGCCATAAATGCTCATTCTCAGCAGTTGAACCTTTTAGCACGTTGTCGAAACCGCTACTTGGACGACTCCAGCGAATGAAGACTCGTTGGGTCTTGTGAGGGTCCATTACAGCGCTGACACGGACATGGTGCGCTTCGTCAACATACTATTCATTTCTAACCTGCTCTGTCAGTTCATCTTGAAGTCAAATGAGCACGCCTGGTTCGACCGCAATTATCAGCAGCATAATCCTCAAATTGTGGAGCGTGGAGCGATAATTACTTGTTCTGCTGCACTCTTCCGTATCGACGAGCCTCTGGTGGTTGTGGACGACGAAGTTTTATTGTGGAAAATCGTGCGTCTCTCGTCAATAAATTTGTGCACTCGGATTCTAACCCCCCTGTGTCAGTCCTTCCGACTTGAAGCCCGACACATTTCTCGCTGCATATATGAAGTAAGAAAACCGAAACAGATGCGCCGTATTCAGGTGGCGGTCCCTGCGATAGCAAGTCTGCGAGAAATAGCCATAATTGTATAGTTTACCTGCAACTCGAAATTGAATGAACCCCAACTTTCATCAAATGGCGGTGCTGATCACGTGCATAACTCATTCCTTTTTCTCTTGCCAACTTGATCAAACGACTGCGAACAATCTTCAACCCTCCAGTGGGGGTTTACCTTCCACTGCAACTGCTCCGCGAGTCCTTCGGTCCCTTTCGCAAATTAGTCAGTATTATTTTTCGTTCTTGAAAATTTGCTGACTGTAAAGTATTCCCTCGTCAGCAGCCTTTGTCTGTATCAGCCTGCTGAGTTATTGCGAGTCATCGTGCATCCCTGTTCGGACGTTCAACACCTTTATTATAGGCTCAACTCTCGATCGCAACAATAATTCTCAATATGCTAAACTTTCAGTCGGACTCATCTTGCAATACTTGCCGCACTGTTGATTCGCCGCTCAAGCAGTGTGGCGACTGTCTGAAGGTTCTCTACTGCAGTACTACTTGTCAACTAGCCGATTGGAAGACCCATCGATTAACGTGTCAACTGGATATAGCCTATCCATCCACAGACGGCGACCAAATTCGCATTCGAGAAGTACAAGATTTCATCCACCGTTGGAAGCGCCCATTGGCCCGATGGGGTGCTCACTGTGCCAATCTCGGTCGTCGAGATGCTAATTTCTTAACCGGAAATACGTTAGTTCTTCCTCTTGGATTAAGGGTGTACTCAACAATATCTCAGGTTTTTAATTTTGCTTGATCGAAACCTCGATACAGCCAATACCGTGTTTGAGGTGCGGACCTTCTAGGACCAAAACTAGACATTGACCCGTTTCATAGCCAGTGTCAGCCGGTTTTATCCCAAACGAACAATTACTTGCGTTGACTAGGGGACTCGCACCGCTCCGCGTATGTCAGCGAATCCAGGAGCACCAAAGTCGTCTACCCAAAGGACCATGCAACATACAGTTGCTTGTGGGTTGCATGGGAATATGGTCGTGCATCAGCGTCAATGTCCATTGGGTCTTCAACGGCGACTACGAATGTTACGGTGGAGGGCTAGTGGCGTGTCTGATGGAACGGGCGTTTGAAACGCACTTCTGCGCCGCGCTCAAGTCCGACGACAGTGCGTTCTTTCCATGACTGTTCATTTCTTAAACCTAACGTGTAACAGGATCTCTGGACCTAGAACTCCTGGCAAGCATCCGTGGAAAATTAGTGGACGCTATGGTGGGGCATATCACGCGAAAAATGCAAAATAATGATTCACATTAGATGTATAATGTCTTTTTACCCGTCTCTAATCACAACTCAAGTTTATTAAGCACACCTCGTAACAGCGCACGACAATTTCGACCGGTCAGCAGAACTACTCAGCCCTTTCGTGTCCTATAAAAACTCTGACGTCGCAAGAATTTCTTGCTCATTATGAAGGACTTGGTCTCCCCGCACAAAGCCCTCACGCATCGTTCAGCTCCTCGCATAGCACCGATTCTCTTTTATCTCCAAATCAGTCTTGACCACGTAGAACTTCCATCGACAATTGGGACTATTCTCAAGCCAGCCAATCTACTTGATCGCAGCACAATGCCAGCTACCGCATCGCAAGTCGTCGTGACTGGCAAATGTACCTGGCTGACCATCCGAGGACAACAAGTACGTGCCACCACAGATCGCGAGAAATGCTGAACAAAGTTTAGGCGTACTTTATCTTGGTGCCCATTGAAGAGTCTCCCGTCTACTACCAACAGGCTTTCTTAGCCATGACAACAACGCTTAGCACTATTTTTTCCAGAATCAATCCACCGCAAGAGGTTCGTCCATAGCATTGCCTCGTCGTCGTTCATAACAGCCAGTAGATTCACCCTGATAGTAAATGGGCATGGATGGAGAATCATGGCGTCGAGCCGATGATCTTGGTCCAGTGTGATAATCAGGCGCTGAAAGTACGTCGTCCCGGGAACCTTCTCTGCAGTGGCTTATGTTCAAGTAGGAAGTTCGGAGATACGAGTACTTGGATTGGCTCCCTCTGCACCGTCAAGAACCAACGGAGGTACTTGACAACGGGGCAATACTCAAATGCAAATTGAACCTTAGTGTCGTACACGGACAAATCCATGAAGACACGAGTTTTCATGTCAAGGTATGGTTAACTCGAGCTACCCGGCATATCCTTATTGTCACTTGCAGCATTGGGTTCTCAACGCAACTCAAGTAACCCGCTGTTATCGTACTCCGTTTGATTTCTATATGACCCCAAGTACAGCACGCAAGACTCACTTAGAAAAACCGCTTTTGACAATGGGACAAGACTGCATCGACCTCACACAAGATGATGACAATGTCGTTTCCGGGGAGGTCATGGACGGTATAACTGAGGCGGAGCAGTATTCTTGAAAAACATGTGGCCAGCACTGCTTTACAGAGTCGTATTGTGCTCAACATAAGCAACTAGTAATCTATTACCAACTATTCGAGACCGATATGTGTCATCTTTTTTTTGCGACTAATATTTAAACTAGATCAAAGTCGACTGCACCCATCACGTCATGGATCACTTCCTCTTCCACACTCCCGACGATGCCGTTCAACTCGATGGAAACGAGCTGTTGGAGTTGTTACCAACATTTACGCGCAGGCATTACTTCGTTTTGGAGGGCACGAACCTACCTGCGAAGCTGTTTCTCAGTGGCAAGATATACACACGTTATCAAGACCCGATGTTGGGGGTAAGATGCCATGTGCTTCGCTCCAACTTGAAATTTCTAATTGGTTGACAGGATACTATCATCCTATCCAACCCTCATATAGCGTCACTCGAAGCGGGATATCGGAAGGTCATCGAGTTTTTACAGCAAACGATGTATGAAACCTTGCCAGAACCTAACCAGGTACGCTATTACTTGATGTTTCATCGAGCCGTCATGGAAATGATCAGAATGTTTTAGGCCATTGGCTTTGTACTCCACTCGGTGCTGACGCGACCATGCGATGGTGCGGATTCAAATACCTGCTTCAAAGACTGCAGTAAGATAGGCTCATCCTGGACTGTCTACAATTCACTCAGATGTTCAAAGGTTGCCTTAGAATGCTACAATATCCCCGAACTCGCGTATGCGAGTGATCAAGACCCTCTTTTGGAACCTGGTGCCTTTGTTCGATGCGGGTTGAATATTATGCGAGAAGAGCATGCACTCGGAAAAGCATCAAATCGCCAGGCGTGGCAATGGGTATGTCCTGCCAGCATGAGCTCTCGCGATATGATGACTTGCGACGCAGATTTGGGCTTTGCCAGTTACTGAAATTTGTCGACTCTACAACGGGGACCCACGTATCAACGCCATGCCCCCAAACATGCAAGTCAGCAATAGTACCGCTCAAGCTGTTACCACCCCAGGAACTCCAGATATCAGCGCAGAAGACATCGAGTATATGACTGGTCATATGAATTCTTCTTAGCCTGTTCTAGTATCGATATTCCGAATAAAACTCCGCTCTACTCTCTCACTGGTAGAACTTCCAACAATCCATACTCCCGTTGACTTCGAAAACAAAGTATGAACATTTGAGTTGAGTCGTCGCTCGCGTGAGGAATATTGGTTGAAGGAAGCCTGAGTGGAAACGTGTTTGGACAAGACTGAGCCAGAAAACTCGATGTTAAACCATCAGAGGTTGTAGGTTACACAGGTATATGGCCGATTTTTGTGCCAAGGACTTGTAACTTGTTCTTGTCGAAGTTCAAGCGCAAGCCTCGTTGGACACCCGAGACGCCGGAGGTAGTAGTAGCGGGCCGCTGGGCGGAGCGAGTCTTCTGCGGAAACCTTGCGGAAACCCGGTACATCTCTCTAGCTCCTTGAAAAGAGCGAAGAGCAAAGAACACCTCGTCAGTCGCACCACGCTCCTGTTGACCTCGAAAACAACATCTGCCACTTACCAGTAGCACATATAAATTGGCTCGAAGGTTGAGTGGTGCTTACATTGGTTCGCCCATTGGAGTATAAGTGAGTTTCGATTAGGCACCAAGTAGAACAACAGGCTCCATGCTATGCTAGACCACCAGAGTAGTGAGGCTGCAACAGTTCTGGTGAGGCGACGGACTCTGGCCAAGTTCAAGATCAAGATTCAAATGTCGAGATCAACGGAACAACGGCGTCGCTCTGGCGGATCATATTCTCGGAGGTCCTCGGATCATGGGTGATACCCAGAAAAATCCAAAATGAAAAAAATATTCTTTATGAACTCCGTTGAGATAGTTCTGAGCTGGTTCTGAGAGGCTGAGCTCAATGCTTGCGATCAGTTCGTATGTTGAAGTTGACAGAAGAAAATTACGTTTGAGGCGGTGACTTCTCTAGGATTTGCTCATCCCATCGCGATTGACTGGGAACCACATGGAAATCACCGAGAGGTTTGTCCCAGGAGCCAGAATTGGGCCAGGAGCTTCGGACTTTGGGCGTTGGAACAAGAGAATATGTTTCGAAACATGCCAACAAGAACAGGGCCTAGCACCAACGATACAACTACACCTTTTTTCAGTGCTTCTCAAGTAAAGCTCTGCTGAACTACCTGCCTTGTTCTGAACTCCCTGCCTTGTTCCACCTCCATGCGACCGAATGACCGAGCGGCTACCTAGACTTCAAGCGGAAGACCGATTGTCACCGACAGCACCGGCAAGAACTTGAATGAATAGTCTTGGCGATCAAGAATCCACATCCGCTCAGACCACATGAACTCCCACACGGGCACTCTTCCTTCCTCCCACCATGCCTCAATGCGCACTCCAATTCCAGCTCCCTGCAAGCTTAACCCATCAATGAATACTGAGTATACCGGACAAGTTCTTCAAGAGAAATTACCCCTTTTGCGCTCCAAGAGTCTGCAGCTATCGAGTTTTTCAGGCCAGTCCACCACAGCATCACCGTGGTGTGCTTATCGCTCCTCTGCTCAATATCACCGGAACTGCGGCAAAGGATACTTATCTTACCATTGGCTGATTCATAAGATCCTTGCACAAGCCCGACGACAACTTGGCCTGTTCTAGTCCCAACGGAGATTCTCTATGAGTTGAATATTAACGATCATTGTGGAATAGCAACCCATACCAACTCGGTTCCTAACTTGAGACCCTCCCCCGTCGACCCAGCGCTCCTTCAAGGGCTTCGTCTGACATTGCCATACCACACGAGATGGACTCTGCGCGTCTTCCCACACCTGGAGCTAGTTGACAAGCACGTCGGCACCTCTCACGATTGAGCTATGAATACAGTTCCGATGCCAGAAGCTGCATCCCTTCTTGACGGGGCCTTCGGGACAGGATGTTTCCCCGGACGACCGCGGAGCAAGCTATTGCAAGCAAACCTCGACATGAGATACACGCAAACTGACACGAGACACCATGAAAAGAGAGTGGGTGATCAACGAGCGACTAGGGTGAGCAACAAGGGTGAACCAGAAGCGAGTCGTTGAGGGAAGTCTCCTTGGACGCCCCAAGAAGATAACTTTTGCGGTCCAATCGCTCAGATACTAAACGAGGGCGGGAAGGCGCTATCAGCGCATCAGCTCATCGGCGCATCGGCGCATCGGCGCATCGGTGCATCGGCGCATCAGCGCATGTGCATCAGATGTCTGACTAACGTCACGAGGAGAGATCAAAACTGTTGAATTCAAGAGATGGGGTTAGATTTCTACGTGGGTGAGTTTACTTCCTCTTCTTTTCAGCCTTCGATTCACATCCTTTCTTGACCTTGCTTGTGCTTCGATAGCGCACCAACTTCTTGGCCAGTCGCGCGCCAATTGCAAACACACCGCGACGAGATGCATTTGAACGGCGCTTGTTGACTTGTTTCCGAAAGCCTATACGTCTTCGAACTCGGTGGAGCGGGAGTAGACCCAGAATGGGTGAGCGGAGGCAAGACAATTGCGACATCAGCATTGACGTCCAGCAAGGCCGCAGGACGGTCAAGGCTGCCTCCATCGTCGTTTTCTTGCGTTTTCATGGTTGCATTCGAGCGCGAATTCGCCTTCACGTTCTCGTCGACTGTCAACTGACCGTTCCCAGCGCTTTGTAACCCAATTTTCGCACCTGCCATCAAGATGTCCACCGCGATGTTGTTCTGGGGGAATCGCGTGGCGTCTGGGGAACCGAGGGCGCCATGGATGCTAATGGATTGGATGGATTTGGTGGGCACCATGACGCTCTGCAGAAACATCAGGAAGAAATAGAAGGTGGAGACAATGCAACGCACCGTGTCACCCTGTTGCACTACAACAAACTCCTCACGCGACGCTGTCCCCACTCGGCGTCGAATATCGGACTGCAGTTGAAAGGTTAGTGAACAATGCTAGATTACCGTTCCATTTCTCACCTTTGTCCATTCCTGAAAGGCCCAGGTCGATGTGGCGCTGGAGACGACCGCCAGCCCCACCATTTTGGTGGTTGAGGAAGCGGTGTAGCACTGGCTGAAGCGAAGACACTGACGAAGGAACATGGGAGGAGGGAGTAACACCGTCACACATAATTCGATGGCAAGTTTGACCATCGGACAAGATACGCAGCCGCTATCGCCATCATACACGTCCATGTACGTTTTTCGTGGGCTACCACACCAAAGAGGATCGTTAATGGATGTTGATGACCCTCAGTACGCTCACAAATTTTTTATGACCAACAAAAACGGAAAAAAGGTGCAGTCGAGTCTGAAGGATCGTCAACGAAACTAATGGGTGTGTCGTAGACCAGGATATGAAGACGCGGCACACCCTTTCTCGCAACATTCATTGCTCTGAGAGAAACATGCGACGTAAGAATCTGCGTCGAATGCGGTGCACCTTTTGATGATGATCATCGGAACGGCCCGGTGCCCTGGTTGACTCATCATTGCTTGTGACCTGACTCACGCTTCCGAAGATCCTCCATGAGAGAGTGCGTCATCCTATTTACTCAGATGGTTGAACTGACTGACGCATATTATCTAGCAAATCGTAAGCAGCTTCAACCAAAGCTGAAATTCAACGCGCCAGCCACTAATCAGACTGATTCGACAACGCTATATAGACTCACTCAACTCGGCAGACCTTGTCTGAATATGGCTTCATCTTCATCTTCCAGCGAGGACCCCTGGGCTCTCGTCGTCACATCGAGGTCTTACCAGTGCAGCAACTGTGACCAGAGACAACCTCAGAAGCAGTGCGGAGGGTGTCGAATCGCTCGCTATTGTAACGCGACTTGCCAAAAAGCACACTGGAAGAAGCATCGAGACGAATGCCGACTCCACCAAATGAAATGGGCCGCGATAGGGACGACAGCTCAGCGGTGCGAAGAAAGGATGGGCAAATTTTTCCATGACTGGTGTCTTGCGCTTAGTCGCTGGGCTATTTACTATGCCGACTTGGGACGCCAGCCCGACAATTACCTGGACACTCATTAGTAGGTTTCCTCAACAGTCGTAAAAAACTAACTGACAAACAGTTTTCTCGTGCGAATGCAATCAACCTCTCCACAAGACGAGTTCAAGGATTACAAGGTAATTGCTTGGTTTACGCCGTACAAAAAGTAACTAACGAGCAATCTGATAGCTTCTAAATGTGGCAATGTACGATGAAGACTCCCTTTTACGTGAACTATTGGAGGGCGAATACCAACAAGCCACAGAAGCCTTTCGTGGACAGCTACACCGGCTGGGATATGGGGGCGACAAGGTGCGGGTTGTTCTCGCGTGGGGCCAACGCTGGCTTTGCTATTCGTCGCCAAGAGCCGAAGACATATACAAGGGTGTGTATCCATATCGAGAAGGCAACGCGTGGACCAAGATGATGCAAGAGATGGTGAAGGATGAGTTGCCCATGGCAATTCAGCAAGGCAATGGTATGAGTATCATTTAGCTTCCGGGAATTCATACTCAGTGTTTCACAGTGGACAAAGATTGGGAACTACTGCTTAAGACCAGCATCGAGGCATACAACGACACCGGGAGCGCGTACTTTACCATTGCTCACCCAACGATAGAATAGTTATGCGCTAGATTTTACCTACCATTATATCAATCTTCTCCTCACTCATACGACACAGAAAAGCATGAAATGACTGAATCAAAGGATTTCCTGCAAGAAAAAAAGTTGGGATTGACGACATGAATAACAACGGTACATTTCTTCCCGCTTCAGATAGAAACCGATACCCCATTAAGGATGTTCAACGCACAACGCTCTGTGGTTGAATCCGAATACATTATTGGTAAGAACAGTTGTGGCGGTAAATGTACTCCAAACGGTGGTGCCCCAGCAAACTTGACGACTCTAGTCGCTCGAAGGATCCACCGCTGCGTTCACTGAGCCAATTGTCGCGGTATAGGGAAGCAAAGAATACGCACCACCTTCCACATCTCCAAGATATTGTCGATGACGAGGCTTCGATACCCCAAACAGTGCAGCCCCACGACACATTCAACGGGGGTGCCAATCTTGAATTTCGTGTCGCACGGTCGTAAGTGGTGGAAGTCGGTAGGCGCGACTGTTTCCGTCTTCAAAAAATGGATGATATTATTGTTGGCAATGCGCGAAAACTCACCACAGCAACATGCGTTGCCAAAGTCACTGGCACCTCCATAAGATATTCGCCTTCTGCGGTTGTTGTTGACCACCCTTCGCTCCGGTCGACAGCCTAAGTATAACGCGTCAATAACTCCTGTTGAGTCAATGTCGCGTACTTTTCCGATGCGCGCATTGTCCATGAGCGGTGTTAGGATGTCGTAGAGGGCTTTATAAGTAGTCGTTTCCACATCCACCGATGAACAAAATCTGCATGTTTTGAGAGCCCATATCATGTCTGGCGAGAAATAGACTGACCGTCTTGTCTAGACCTTGGTAGATGTGTCGAACACGTCCCTTGAGAACGAGGAGGGTTGGAAGCCCGTTAAATATATTGCAGTATGTCTTCAGGATGCGATCTGGATCGTCGCAAGGAAGATCCACAAGCTGGACCATGAGTCGCAGATCAAACGGGTTCATTGAATAACTTGCGCTAGCTTACATCGTGAGCCAACGGAAGCTTTATAGTCTTCATAAACGCACCCACTACCCGAATCTTACACGGCCTTCGCCTGCGTTCCCGTTCCGACTTGACACGATATCGATGACTTGGGGAGGTCGAGTCAAAAGTTATGTCACGCAACGCACGACTCACACTACAAGGGAGAAAAGAAAGTTGGTACTGTCAACTGAATAATCAAGCCCAAGCAAGGTCGAAGACGGCGATCAGCCGGCGCCTAGTGCTTAGTCAGAGTCTAACTGGAAGACTCTGACAAATCACTAATCATATGACTCCAACTCTTAGGGTGTCTTCGGGTCACAACGCCGGGCACCCACGTTGCATCCACGACCTCAACACAAGCCGGACGACAAGCTGGGAAAAGAGGACACAGACGTGACAATGGTTGTTCAGTCTGAGTACAGTAGTCTCGTTCTGGACATGTTGGATCCAATATTATTGACAATTTCCATGCTACACAGGTTAATCTACTTGCCAAACAATTTTTAGCCCTTAAGAATATATCCAGCAGTTACTATTGCCGACTTACTTGAAGCTTTGGGCCTTCGGCACACGCCACTCCAGCCCGCTCGCCCTGAATACCTATGTGTCCACGCGCTGGCCCGCCTGAGCACGTGCATGGGCCGAAATTGCTGGCACCGAATGCCGCAACTTGCTCTCCAGCGCGGCTCCATGTCTGTGGCTGTTGTTGAGACGACCACCTGCTGGTGGCTGTTGCGCGGGCTGAGCTCCCGCGAGGTTGCCATCACTGAGCCCATATTCCTTCATCACTTGTGTCTTGTAGATGGGTCCACTGGCCGCCGCCACTGCCCGTGGCCGGTGTAAAACATGTTGGATCAGAGGAAACGATGACCTGGGCACTTGGTCATGCTTAGTCAGAGTCCAACTGGAAGACTCTGACAAAGCACTGTGATTCTTCGAGTCACAGCGCCGGGTTTCTCTCACGCTTTCCAGATCGTCGGAGCAGCGCGTTCAATTCGTAAAACGATCGAACCGGATTATACAATAGCACAGTGCCGCCGCAAATCCCCCCCGAGGACTTAGCATCACACTTTGTCAAACTATGCCTTGTCCACTTCAAGCGGTTAGTCGTCTCCAATCGGCTAAAATTTTGATATTGACTGCAACACCCTTCAAGTGGGACACTAGACTTCAAAAAGTCTGTGAGCGCTGATGTATATCGAGCAATTATGAGAATTACATCGCTCGAGACGCAAGAAGGTATGTAGTCACTCGTATTCACTCATTGTCACCAGGGGCAATGCTAGCGTCAGTTGGCTAATGGCAGACCTAGCGGCAGTTGGGCAAAGACAAAGGTTTCTTTGTTTTTAACAAAGCAAAAAAATTGCCTTGCAAACTGCCAGCAAACTGCCATATGCTATCTGCCGCTAGCTTTGCCCCTGGTGTGTACTCACAATTGTGTCGGTAGATTGGTGGGACCATAAACGAAAATTTCCGTGGATCGTGCTGTGTCTCGTTCGCGCGTTCTCTGCTATTCCATCCACCTGACGACTGGGACAACACACCTTTCACAACAAATACCGGTGAATTGCAGCACCACTGGACAAAGGAACATACTGGCAAAAAGCTCGCTTTTGTTGTTGGCACAGAGAGGTGTGCCCATTGCGCTCTGACTCAGAACTACGATCTAATGATCTTCTTAGCGCTCGGACCCTTGACCACAATGTTCTCCGCGATGTCACCGGCTCAAAGGCCAGCAGTGTTCTTTCGAATCCGCTCAACGAGTCCTCCAATCGTCGCGGTCGTGCCCTTTCTCGCAACTTCAGCAAAATGCAAAAGTCGGGGCTGGCAACTCGAAGGCTGCAGCTGCTCCGAAGCGTCGGCCTCGCGGACGAGCTGCTGAGGCCGAAAGCAGCTCAAGTGGGAGGGTCAAGTCGACTTCATGTATGTATCCACCAACTCAATTCTCCATATCTTGCTCAATATCGGCCAGACACTGCTCGACCAGTAAATGCTTGGGACACAGCAGACAGCGCTAATGGCGTACACGCTGGACTGCCGATACCAAGCATGGCGTCGTTCACCTTCCGGCAACCAACCTCGGTTGATATGGCTGCGAAGTACCTGACCCCATCCGAAGCTGTCGGCGGTGTCGAGGTTTCTACTTTTTCACCACCTCCACCGGCCCACTGGCAATTCGAGCAATCCTATGGCAGTCTCAGCGACTACGACAGCACAGCATTATTCGCACAAGACAGCACAAACTTCGGAATGGTCAACGACAATACCATCTACGACCGCACCATTCCGGCCCCCTCAGAGCTATCACTTACCGCCAAAATGGCTAGGATAAGCAGTCAATTCACTTCTGCCGGCGCCATCGCACCAGCCCCAAATTATTCAGCAGCGGAGGAATGGAGGAATGACGAATATGGCGACTTTCACTGGAGTGGCAGCCTGGGAGTGCGTTGACATTAGGCGTGGGTTCCGGAGAGCTGGACGGGGACGGTAAGGAAGGGAGCTTCAAGTCGAAGCTGGTATTGTCGGTGGGCGGAGTTTTGACAGCGCCAGAATCCGCATTGAGTTGGGCGAAGTACGCATTAATTGTTTCGTCATCCCGCCGAGTCCAACCTCAGGCTGCTCGAGTTGCCGGCCGCGGACAACGGCCAATCCCAGCAAGTGCCGGTGCCGGTGCCGGTAGAGGGCGAGGCAGCACCTGCTGGCCGACCAAAACGCAATCCGCGCAAACGCCGTGCTGATGACGAGCTGGAGGAGGTGGCTGTGAAGGCGCCACGAAATCTTGACCCACTCGCCGGCTGGGATATCATCATAATCATGGAGAATGGTCGCATTTTCACACCCCGAGAGTTTGCACTGCACAACCTGGCTGAGTTTCGGAGACGTTATCCAAAGTTTGTCAAGCACCTTGACTAGTAGTGTATTGCTGCTGTAGTATTTGAATACAGTGTCGTGCATGGCGTGGTGTCGGACTTGGTCCCTTCAGTGCCGGACTTGGTTTGACAGGTGTCGCGTTTGACGGGGTAGGTGCCGCATTTGGGTGGAAGGTGTCGCAGTTGGAGGCGCCGTGAGTGTCGAAGATGAGATATCCCGCCTCACTCCAACGTTCACCACACTACCTTCACCAACATTTATTACTATCACTGTTCTCGTCTTGTACAAGCATCTTCCACTTTGAGCAGTGTTTGTCGGGTCTTGCCGGATCTTCCTGCTGCTTAGGCGCGCCAACCGTCTCCGCGACCGGGCTGGCCGACAAGCCATTGGCTGTATCGAGGCGCCGACTAGACTTGCGCCGTCTGGAGCGCGGGCCGGGCCAGGAAACGGATTTGGGTCCCTGATCATTGGTAAGTTGACTTGTCAAAAGACTGCATGTCGCTCACCTTCCCAGCCAGAACGAGCTGCGCCGAGCCCTGTCCTTGTTCGGCACGAATGTTGTGTGGAGCTGATTTGTAGGTGAGTTTTCGTTGTTAACTGGGCGAAATGTGAACATACTTGATAGTTTTCTTTGCGCTCGAGCTGCTGACTAGGGAGTTTTCGTGCCGAGAAGCTGGGTTAGTGTGAGTTGCTTGATCAAACTTGCAGAATATGTGTATAACTGACCGTGATAGCCAGCCCGGAAGATGCTGCCGGACCGCCCCAAATGCAGCAGGCACGCTCGCGCCGCAGATTTCCGGAGGCAAAGCAGGCAGTGCCAAACTCATTCGGCTGGCGCCAACGGGACTTGGGCCGCCTAGAGAGCGAGCCGGGCCGGGAAACGGACTTGGTGAGTTTGCGAGGGGGGAGTTTCTTCACCGAACCTGGACAATGTGAATCGGAGCACAACTGACCGTTATAGGCCCACTTTCGTCCAAACAAGAGAGGCAACCCCGGGACTTGGGCCGTCCGGAGAGGAGGTCGGGCCAGTGGGGACACTGCATTCGGCGCTGGCCTCAGTTGAGCCAGCGCGCGATGGGTCGAGCAGCCGTAGTCAGTACTAGTTCGCCGTGAGTTGCAGCCGGCATAAGTTTTGAGGGAGTGGTGGTGGGCGCTGCCGTTTGGGCCGGAGAGGGTGCGGTCAGCCGGGCCAGGTCGCCGCTGAACGCTGGGCGTGACTTGGAAGAAGCAGTCAACTGGGCCAGACTCACCACTTGGATACCCCGGCCCGGCAGCCCTTGTCGCCATTTCTCTCCCATTTCCCCGCTGTTCCCCAATATCTGAGCCACGCATGCCGTGCCTGGAAGGCCAGCGTCGTCGTAGAGCCATCTTGGTGGTCGTCAGCGTAAGCGCAGAAGCTTGGGATGAAGGACAAGAAGAAGCGATGAAAGTCACGAGCGATGTGACGGCCCGCGGAAATGTTCTACTTAACAATGTGTACTCGGACTTGCTGGATCCTCGTCCGGTCCATGCCCTCCTTCAGCTGGCGAATAAAACTGAACGTGAGTTATCATTGACTTGGATTCAATGTTGCTTACCTCGTTATCAGGTCCAGCGCACAGCGTACACTCTGGGCTTGTCGCAGTTGCCGGCGCTGACGTTGTCTCGGTCCATGCGGAGCTTGGAAGCAAGACTGAAGATAAATAAGTAGGTTATTCTCCAATTCATCAAGCCCGCCGGCACGGCGCGACAGCTCGGCCGCGCTGAGCACATTCGCACACTTAACCTGGTGGTACACATTGCGCGCATCGTACATGGTGGCATTGGGCCGGGTGATCCCTGCAAAGTCAACGCCGCTGCCACCAGTGTTGTCAAGTACATGGGCTATGCTCAACACCCACACCACGCGCGGGGGTCGGGAGAGCCAGCGGCGAGCAGCTTCGGCATGATGAGGTTGGTGAAGAGGAATGGGCCAACGTGCCCAGTGGCCATCTGGCTCTCAAGACCGTCGGAGAGGCAGAACTTGCCGCACCATGTTGGCGGTGGGAAAACTTGCGCGGATGGCGGTGGCGGCGAGATTGTAATTCACTCCCTCCCCACAACCCCAACCCCAACGACCTTCTCACCCCCAACAACCACAACAACAAGCCTAATATGACGCATTCCCAGCCCCAAGGAAGCAGGACCCCATCATTGGCGGCAGCGCCTTTCTATTCTGGCGCATTCTACCATCAACCTGGACAGGGGACCCCTCCGGTCTATCCAGCAAACAATCCGTATTTTGACCCCGCAAACGCGAATGCCCAGTTGGCGGCCCAGTGGGCTTATCAGCAGATGATGTTCAATGCGGCAGCTGTTCAGCAACACCAGCAACACGATACTTCCAGCAAATGGCGTTTAACCCCTTCCCCAGCTGGACTCCGCCGCCACGACCAGGTCCCACTGATGATATGTCCGCTCCGTTGCTAACGGCAGGACAGCGGGCTTTGCCAACAGTATCAACTCAGCCGTTTTGCGCTATGCTGACACACCTGTTTCTGACCCAGCGACTCCTCTTGTCGCCGCTACCAACGCGCTTGTCAAAACCAAGCTCCACCCGCTTGTTGCCCGCCCCGGCAGACCGGTTCCTGGCGGCCCCGACATTCATCAGGAGGAAGATGATTGGTGATGTGGACTGTGGACGCGGACACTTAATGTATGCCTGTATGTAAATATCATAATGCAAGAAAAAAGTATGCGAGTCTTAGCAAGCAGCAAACCTTTGTGATGAGGGATAAGCTATATGTGTCATAGTATCCGCTAGCCAGCATGTAATTATATAGTGGTATATCACAGTTTTATGGAATCCCAATCAGAATCCCGATCAATGATGGTTCCAGAATCTGATCACAGTATTCCAGCCTGGAACATGTGATATATTCCAGGCCGGAATATTGAATGAAAACATGTGGCAGATTGAGAATATTCCATGCATGTGCCCAACATTTTCCGGGCTGTCATATACATGACAGATGGCGAGAAAATTGAGAATATTCCATGGATATTCCTGTCATATTCACTGCGGGAGTTTGGGAATAAACAGTGCCCCTTTCGATCCATTATACACCTAAAATCAATGTACCAAAAAAAGAATTTTTTTATACCTCTGTTTGCACCCAAAAGAAATTGTTCCAAATATGCCTGCTTATATGAGAAATAGATGCTATAAACAGACTCAGTTTTGTCCCCTGGTTTGGGGGCAGATTAAACACCCTTTTCTAGACCAGCTTTTGCATCAAAATAGGGACCAAAAAATATGGTCCAGGGCCCTGATATATATCATATAAGTGAATATATGTGAATATTTTTGGTTCATGTTTTGATACAAAAACTGGTCTAGAAAAAGCTGTTTGATCTGCCCCAAAACCAGTTGACAAAACTGAGTCCGTTTATAGTATCTATTTCTCATATAAGCAGGCAAATTTGGAACAATCTTTTTTGGGTGCAAATAGAGGTATAAAATTTTTTCTTTTTTTGGTACACTGATTTTAGGTATATAATGGATCGAAAGGGGCACCGTTTATTCCCGAACTCCTGCAGTGATTCCGGCCTAGAAAATGGAATGAATACAGCCTGTAATATTCATAATATTCTCAACATATTCCAGGGCGGAATATGCAAGGGGGGCATCATGATATGACGATCTGACCACAGGCTGGGTGGTTGGTCACCCTAGCAGGGCTTAGAAATATTTTCTGTGCATGTTTATATTTTGGTTTTATTAGGCTAATAATAGGTGGGGTGAATACACTATAGCCTCAGAATCCTTAGTTGACCATGGAATAGGCCAAGAATAGGTCTTGGAACTTGTTGGAAGCTCTTTGCAAGCTGTACCATGATTACAGGCCAAAGGGTAGTGTATATACCAGCTCTATCAAGCTTCTTATTGGCCAAGAGCTACCATGTCAGAATGAAGTGCAATGTATTGTAAAGCTGTGGTCTGTCCTACCTGCCACAATCCTGCTGGTACTGCTTATAGACTGGCAGTCAAGCTTGTGACAGTGGTAACTAGAGCAGGATTGGTGGCCTTGGGGCAGAGAGATGTCTATGTCCTTGGGGCTTTGGGCAGGGCTCCCTGCCCAGAATATGGAGACTGTAAGTGCTATGGGTGCATGTCACCCTGATGCCACCAATCTTATCAGCACCCACCTTACAGGCATCTGTAATCAAATAGTTCCTTTTATAGTATATCTTATCTTATCTAATAGTCACGTGGTTGGTTGGTCGCCTGGCCAAGGCTTAAAGACAAAAACTGGCATGTGCTCCACCATTCACATCATGATGCCCCCTTGGGAATATGCTCCATTGCCTGCAGTGTATCAAAAAAGGACGTACATGGGAGCAGGAAGCAAGAAGGAATGCCGATCACTGCGGCCGAAACGCTGATCACGAGGGCCGATCATTATCTCATCTGCCACGTCACGTCACAGACGGCTTCTTCTTCTTCTCCCAACTCACCAAGAGCCAGTCCCGACATCCAACTACGTCGACACAGCTACTATTAAACGACCCAGACGTTGCACGTTGGGTGTTTATATCGGCTGCTCCGCGCAATGTCAACCTCGAATCGGATCTTGCTCCCAGTGAGCGCACTCGAAGATAGGGAACGACCCCGTGTATGTCCTTCCTCCCAACTTGAATACAGATGACAAACTTATCGCTAATACAGCCCACTGTCGCCTTCACTGGCCTTGTTCGCGCAGGCAACGCGTCATTTCTTGTCTTCAATGCGGATCGTCAAATTTTCGGCCAAATGCCCAGCATCCACAAAGCGCCTCCTCCTTTCTCCTCAACTCATAACCCGTATCAGACCTCCTGGATCGACACCGAGTTCCCATATTCCGTAACAATTCCGCCCAAAAAACCATGGGTCGGCCCGCTTCTCGGATGTCTCGAGATTTCGCGACAAGTCATCGAGCGTGAAATAGTGGAGGTGGCGTCTGACACTCCCCCTGGGGATCAACTCCGCCCAAATTACCCGTGGACCACGCTGGAAGCTAAACCCGGCTACCACCAAGCGTTGGCTGAGATTAGAGGGCTTCTTACTCGCCCGTTTTGGAATGGCA